GCACCAGCAGTGAATGTTTGGTAAACGTTGCTTTACAAATATACCCCCTTATTACAAATAAGCATGTAATACAGTGTGCACACATAATACAGGCTTCACAGAGCAGTATGGATTTTTTTCAAGAAAAGGAGCACAGTAGGAGCTTTCTCCATTCAGATTGTCTGAATTTCTGTTTATTACCATACATAGCTGGCAGAGGGATGGGTCGCTCCTTCAACTCATTCAGCTGTACGTGTAATCTAAGCTTTAGCTATATGTTTTTCCAGGAAGTCATGTGGCTGTGTAAAAGAGTCAGACTGCCTGGATACTGGGGTACGGCATACTGTACATGGCATCATCCGGAACAATTTTGGTTTACAGTGTCATAGTAAGATAGAAAAGAAAATGATTCCTTTTGGATGTCCAATTGTTTATTTGTTTTATGCTTTATTTTCAGAGTACATTGAGACATTAAACTGCGTACGTTTTAATAAAAACTGGAAAAAAGGGGATGTGATAACCACTAAAATCTCATTGGCTTTTATGGGTTGCTGCACATTACACATCATCATTGCTCCTCGCTTCACCTTAAAGGAGAACTATGAGATGAGTGATTTCCACTCACCACAAACTGGATAACTAGAAACGTGTAAACCTTGTCATCATCATAGAGGTTGCGCCATGTGACCATCAGAAAATCAGAAACATTTCAGGTGGAGAAAAAGAGACACCTGTCGGCAGAGCGTGAGCTGCAGAGAATCTCAACTGCATTTACTCACCTATTTGCATATATCTTTATCACCCAGACGGAGTGGTGGCATATGATCAAAGAAAACATCTTTGTCCTACTTCCATACTTCAAATACTTTACAATGTCACGGTATGTGAGGCTTTAGGGTGTTATGCATAACAGAGAACATGTATCTTTTGATATCTAAAATGTGAGATAAGTAACATACATAGGAACCCCTCCCTCACATGAAAAACGAATGTCCCCGTTACATGCATGATAGATCATTTATTACATAAAAGCCAATTCACAACCCCAGTATGTGTGAAATGCGAGTGTGAAAGTTCAACCCCACACAGTGGTAAACAAGAGAGTTTAAAGTGGAAGTGTACTGTGTAAAAGGGACTTTTGTACCTCTCTTGTGCAATAAAAAAAGCCTCTTGCCTTCCTGCTAGCAAATTCCTATAAATTGTGCACTGAGCTGTGGAATCTTGGCATGTCTTGGGTCCCCACAATGAATTAATTCCTGTGCACGGTAATACGTCATCCTGGGCCTGTGAATTCAGAACCAAAGCCGACATGCCTGGGTGAAGATGGAACCAAGAGTGACGATGACCATGGGTTTCGCTTTGGCAGATACACACTGTGGACTTTAGTTTTGGTTTAAAATGGCCCTTTACCCCCATTCACTAAAAATCACATCAGCGTGCAGCTCTAAATGCTGATTTGAAATCATCTTACATTCATAAGTTAAACAAACATATTTAGCTTTTACTTACAATTACTGTTTTCCCACTTGGGGAAGGTGGGCAAGGTGATGTGTTGCTGTGCCCAAGTGATTAATCCTGGGAAGGCTACATCAGCAGAGCCTTGCTCAGAAAGCAGACATGCTTATCTTTTTTATGTAACACAGAATTTTTGTGGGACCCAATTTGGAGTCTTGATCCAATCATTGTACACCTAGATATTAGAGGGCGTCTTATTTCATCAACATATGGTTGTTTCAATGTTTTAATAGTTCACCAATAACAATGGTCTTTCCTATGTTATCTTAAGAGCATGCAGGAGTCATCTTGTAAATCTTTGGGCTGGTAAAATATTTTTTGTAAATGTCTTCACATTTATCTATTTTAAAACAGCACTTAAAACGGACATTTACACTCAAAAATCAAATTTTACCAATAAATCCTTCTATGTATGATGATTAATAACATAGACATGCCAGGTGTAAAATGCTGTGATTACTTCCACTTGCAGAGCATTCACTTCCAGATTGAAAGGGCAAAATGACTTCAGTTTGGCAAAGCAATGCACACTGGGATTGCCTTGTCATCGGCAGAGCATTGCTGGGAAATCTCATCTGTAATCTCATGAGATCTCAGAGAAAGGCATTTTCCTCCCCTGAGATGATGTGCATGGTCACATGTTCTAGTAAAAAATGGCCACTGTCAGAAGACTGAGGAATAAGTAAAAATAAGGTATGCAAAGAATACAAAGCCGACAATTATCTAGAGGTATGTGTTTGTAGATTGTCATTAATAAACAATTCTAAGGTCTCGTTCACACCTAGGCGTATTGCATATGCATGTCTGTTGCGCAACCGTCGCACGTTTTTTTTACCGCGACTCGGTTTTGTAGCGCGTTAGGGACGGGCGGAAATACGCCAAGGTGGGAACGAGACCATTGAATACAATGGGATTTATATTTTTGAGCGTTTTGTAGAGCGTTCGTCGACAATATAACGCACTACAAAACGTTCAGGTGTGAACGAGGGCTAAAGGGGTCTTTGTTGTCAAAGATATGGGTAAAGTTCCTCTTTAAGAAATTAGTCAATCAACAGTAAGGGCCCGTTCACACATTTCTGTTCTGGGGTGTTGTGGTAATACGCATTACGTCACCTGTTAATGTGCATTGCGTTAAGCTGCCATTCACTTTGCCACAATGAACAAAAAATGGCCAACGCTTCAACTGAACTTTCAAGAAGACAGTTTGCTGAGATTCCATTTCAGAAAAAACACCACGTTAAGGCTGGGTTCACACCTTAGCGTATTGGAAACTCGCGTTTGCCGCGCGTTTCTTACTGCGTGGTTTTACCACAATTTGCCGTAAAAGAAACGTGCGGCAAACGCGAGTTTCCGAGGGGGTATCCGGCTGTATCCTTATGGATACAGCCGGATACGCGCGTTAATACGCCCCAAAGAAGCTCCTGTACTTCTTTGGGCGTATGGCGTTTTACCGCGCGATCCTACGCGCGGTAAAACGCGCAGGTGAGAACCATGCCCATAGGTGTGAACCGGGCCTTAGAGGTACACAGACCGTCTTTCTGAAGGTGACAAACAGAGACCCTTGAAAAAGACAGCCTGCGTATCCCCGTTGGTGCTTTTTCTGATATGGGACTTCAGCATACTATCATGTTGGAAGTTCAGTTGGAGTGCAAGCTTTTCTCTATGTCTGGATGTGCGCCATGTGACCATTTAGCCAAGCACTGTACTCACCCCTACAGGTGGGTTATAGAGGTTTGTGTGGTTTGACGTATTGCATGGACAGAAAAATGCACACCACAATGCACTTAGTAGTGCATTACTCTGCGTTGCGCTGCAATACATGTGCGTTCCCTTAGTGTGCTGGGGTGCCATGAATGGACCCTAAGTGAATTTAAATATGTATGGGATAAACACAAGTTTATATTTGGTCAAAACAAAAAACAAATGATTAAAAATAGAATTCTAGGTGTATAGGTACAAAAAATACATATGCAAAGAGCTGGTAACACATACAGTAGCTGGCAGTGGAAAGAGAGGAGCCATCAGAGGATCTATAATATACAAAGGATCTGCTTCAACCGTGGATGAAGATGTTGTGGTGCAGCCACAGTTTAAATCCAATCTCTGGGTAAAAAAACTCCCCTTGCAGTGGGGCTTCCCCTGGGGCTGCAAGGGTTAAAGTAATATTAAATTCAAAATACTTTTTCAAATGCTGATTAAATCACTTAAATGGATTCTGCTCCTTGATGTATTAAAGTTTTAGTTTCCTGCAGAATCAGCTGCTCCCCTGAGCACTAACTCTGATATGCTGTTTTAGGGTGGCTTCTTTCGCATGCAGGTCCTATGGGGCCACCCTTGTGTGTGCTAGTAAGCTATGTATGTCTCCACAAACACAGCACATAATAGAAGTCACCAGCACTCGATGATGTGTGCAAGAAGTAAAGCACTTTTTATTAAATCGCCACATGCGTCAAACAGCCAACGTTTCTGGGCCACGTCGGCTGTGGGCCCAGCATTGTATGTGATGATGTCATCGGGCCTCCACTGCTGAAGCCCAGCGGGGGAAGAGGCTGCGACTGCCTGTCTGTCGAGCCAGCGGATGTAGGGATCAGGTAAGTAAAAGTCCTTTACAAAGGTCCCATAGACCAGCGTTTTTCAATGCCCGTGCTGCTGTATGGGCCTGGGACTGGTTGAATAGTCTGCAGGAGCCTGAGCATAGTACCTGCAATCCACTTATTACTGGTGGTAATGCTTTGCAAGCTCCAATGCAAATAATTAATAAATGCCCATTTTTTTAACAATAGGTGGACTACTAACTCCTGTCAGATTCTTTTCTGCTGTCTGTGTAACCATGGAGCATACTTCCCTACACTTCCTTTCCCCAAAACGCAACAGGAAGAGAGAGAAAATCTTTTCAAATTGTGGAATTCCTCTCTTAAGATAGTTGCCAGCTTAACATGTGTTCCAATGGAAAGAGTTCCCCTCACTTCCTGTGCTAGTGACAACTGTAAGATTTTGGATCTCCCATCTCTGGTAATAGTGGTCACTGGGATGGACACAAAGTGAATGGTCTCAGTGAGGACCCACTGACAGAGCTGCTGAACCTTCCAGGTTTCTGCACAAAATGTAAAACAATTGGTGTTAGATACACATTAACATCAAAACAAGTTGGTGAATCGTTTTATTATACAGGTGAAACAGGTTAAAATGCCATCTTAGATCTAATTGTCACTAATAATGCAGAGTTAATCGAGGATATTGTAATTGGGGAGTCATTGGGTAATAGTGATCACAATGTGATTACTTTTACATATTTTACGTTTGCTTTATTCGGTTCTGGAAGTTCTGGTAAGTCGGAGCAGGCCCAAACCCTTCTCCACTGTGACAAAGACAACTTTTGCCTGGAGTTCCCTCTGAACACCATACCACGAGCTCTCCCAGCACACTCCCTCCATCACATCAGTCATGGAAGAGGCAGGGATTGGCTGGAACCGGCTCACGTGACGCCGAGCCTCCTTCCACCCCTTAGCATGTGAACAAGGAAGCGGGGCCGCGGGAGGAGAAGGCGTTCTGTGGTTGCTGGGCAACGTCGTGCGCGCTGCATGCCGGGACGTCAAAAAAATGCCCACGCTGTGACCTCTCCCCTAGGCCCCCCTTCGCCTCACAACACGGAAGCATGGCGGCCGCCCAGGGAAGCCCGGTGTCCTCCCGTTCACAGCGGCGGCTGAGGATTCTCTCAGGGCACCTGCAGCCCGGAGCCGCGACTGACGTCTCCGCCAGCGAGTGCAAGGCCACGGCGGCTCCTTCTATCCCCAGGAAAAGGTAGGGGCGCGGGTGGAGTGATGGGTGCGGTCCTGGCATGGCAGCAGGTGGAGGCACACCTTACAGAAGAGTATACTGTTACCCGCGGGCGGGGTAATCCCCAGCATTCTTCATGTCTTGGGGAACTGCAAGTACCAGCATGCCCTGTCTGTTAGCATGGACCTGTAGAGTCACAGCAGTGCTAAAGTGTGATAGAGATCAGATCTGTATTATACTGACCCGCTGGCAGCCTCGGGGTGTCATTGATATGGGATATAGACATCAGAAATGTGCAATCTATGAAATCTGAAATCCCAATCAATTGTAAACCAGCAGTGACATGGGTACCTTAGGAGCCTGGTCGGCGACAGTGCGGGGCTTGTGGGGAGAGTGCTGGGGTCGGTGCCGGGCTTGCGAGTAGGGTGCCGGGCTTGCCATTGATAAAGGATATAGTCCAATGCAGCAGTCATCGGTAAATCGGAAAGGGGCAAACTATAAAATCTATACACGTGTATGGCTGTCTGGCTTCTGGAATCCCAATCAGTTGTAAACCAGCAGTGATATGACTACCCGCTATGCCTGGCTGGGAACTGTGCCAGGCTTGCAGGGAGGGTGCCTTAGTCTCTGGGACGGTGCCAGTCTGGCAGGAAGGGTGCCTTGGTATCAGGGGCAGTGCCAGACTTGCAGGGAAGGTGCCTTGGTATCAGGGGCAGTGCCAGCCTTGCATAGAAGGTGCCTTGGTATCAGGGGCAGTGCCAGCCTTGCAGGGAAGGTGCCTTGGTATCAGGGGCAGTGCCAGACATGCAGGGAAGGTGCCTTGGTTTCAGGGATGGTGCCAGCCTGGCTGGGAAGGTGCCTTGGCTTCAGGGATGGTGCCAGCCTGGCAGGGAAGGTGTCTTGGTATCAGAGAAGGTGACGTGCTTGCAGGGAAGGTGTCTTAGTTTCAGGGATGGAGCCAGCCTGGCAGGGAAGGTGCCTTAGTTTCAGGGATGGTGACAGCCTGGCAGGGAAGGTGCCTTGGTATCAAAGGCAGTGCCAGCCGTGCAGGGAAGGTGCCATGGTTCCAGGGATGGTGCCGGCCTGGTAGGGAAGGTGCCTTGGTTTCAGGGATGGTGCCGGCCTGGCAGAGAAGGCACCTTGGTTGCAGGGACGGTGCCGGCCTGGCAGGGAATGTGCCTTGGTATCAGGGACGGTGCCGGCCTCGCAAGGAAGGTGCCTTCGTTTCAGGGACTGTGCCGGGCTTGCAGAAAAGGTGCCTTTGTTTTCAGGGATGATGCCAGCCTGGCAGGGAAGGTGCCTTGATATCAGGGGCAGTGCCACCCTAGCTGGGAAGGTGCCTTGGTTTCAGGGAAGGTGCCAGGCTTGCAGGGAAGGAATATCTTTGAGGTGATTATGGGGGGCACTGTGGATCTCTGTCTCCTCTTTGTGGGCAGAGTTGCGTAGACTAGTTATGAAACATGCTGCATTATACACAGAGTAACTCTCCACCCCACATGCAATTGCACATTGCAACCTATTGCGGTGCATAGACTTGAAAAAAGTGACAGTTGAGTAAAATTGAAAAAATTAAAAGGTAAACCACGGCTTGCAATGTAGAGCTACCACCTCTGGGCACTCCTACACTACGGATACCACCCACACACACTGTACACATGTGGAGTCCTCACCCGACAGACATTTGTACAGTAAGGTACAGTCTGATCTAAAGTTTCTCCGCACTGCCCTTTGTACACACTGCCGCCTCTCACATTTTATTGTGTTGGGGCTAAGTAGACAATGCTGTAAAATGATGAAATCTGCTGTACAGTGATATTCCCAGGATGCCATTGCTGATGCCTTTTCTAATATGCAACTTGACTAACTGTCTTTAATTGCAGTACTTTCCCATTTCCTGCCCTGGAACAAGAATTCAGCCAGTGAAGTCACACCTCTGTGATCTGTGACATTGGTCCAGGTCTGAATGAATTGAAGGCAAGGGGTTAATGGCAGCCCAGCAGCTGGAAGCTCAGCAATGGCAGGCTCCAGGTTTCTCTCTATAGAGGGGCATAGTCAGATATGTACAGCAGGCTGTGTAGTGTTCATGTCATTATGGCACCTGTAATCTCGGTTTATGGGCTTGCAGTGACTGATAAAGTTTATATTGGTCTGTTTCACACCATTGCACCAGTTTCACACATTGAATATCTCTGGATGAACATTTCAGATCAGGCTGCTGTTTCTGCGCTGTTTGTCAGGCTGAATGTTCAGTAGGTGTGAATGGGGAATTCATCCCCTGCATTTCCCATCTCGTGTGGCAGTAAACACAAATCTGTTTACTTTGCTTATAGATTACTTTATGACATGAAATTCTTAGCATAGTGTGGAGGGAGTGTTTGATACGATACTTCCTCTGTCACACTGCATTACTGGAGGAAATCTGGTATATAATATTTACACGTGCTTGACATCTGACCTCTCTTCATCCACTTATGCTAGCAGTTAACAGAGCAACGTTCAGGCAGTTTGAAACGACTTCATAGTATAATCACCTTAACAGATCAGATCAAACTACCACCAAGAGTTCTAAGCCCTCGTTCATAAACTACCACCAAGAGTTCTAAGCCCTCATTCATAAACTACCACCGAGAGTTCTAAGCCCTCGTTCATAAACTACCATCAAGAGTTCCAAGCCCTCCTTCATAAACTACCATCAAGAGTTCCAAGCCCTCCTTCATAAACTACCACTGAGAGTTCCAAGCCCTCCTTCATAAACTACCACCGAGAGTTCCAAGCCCTCCTTCATAAACTACCACCGAGAGTTCCAAGCCCTCCTTCATAAACTACCACCAAGAGTTCCAAGCCCTCCTTCATAAACTACCACCAAGAGTTCCAAGCCTTCGTTCACATTGCTGCAATGTGACATCTCAGGTGCATTGCGGTAGGGCAGCCCATTCATTTGAAAAGGCTGCCTACCACATTCTATAACGCTCATGCATCTTTTTAAATAAATCGCATTGGGAATAGGTTACTATGTGTTGTAGTTTAATGCAATGCACATGTGATGGCTAGGTGCGTTTGGGTGCCATTAAAAAGTAATAACAGCGCACTTTACAGTGCAACATGTTATGGAATGATAGGTGCCCGCTCAGAGATCTCAGGGATAGTTCTCTATTCACACGTGTGCGGCTGCATGTTCATGCATTCTTTAGCATGTTTGTCGTGAATTTTTTAGGCAGTTTCATGCTTCAAGCATTTTTGTTTTGGCCAATGACAAGTAAGTTCCACTAGAGCAACAATGTGTTGAAATGTCATTTTCTACAAGCATACTTTAGCATATCAAACAAAATAAATATGCTTACCTTTTAGATTTGTTTGGAGTGATGATGGGTAACCATCCTAAGCAGCATAAAGCTTGTTGGCACCGCCCTTCCAGGCCCTCTGGCACTAGCAGCGTTCCTTGTAATTGCGATTGCTGGGATCGTAAGACAATGTCCTTGCCCTCACCAGCCATATTAGTTCTTCCACATCAAGCATGGTGTGGCCTGCTCGCTCCATCATCCTATGCAGCCTGGCTAGAGTAGATGTTATGCACAAAACATGCATTTTTCTGCTCTCCCATTGAAGTCTATAGGGTCAACAACACACCATGTAGAACTAAAAGAAGCACCAGCACCTTTTTTCCAAGTTGCACGGCAGCACAATGCATAGGTGTGAAGAGGCAACATAGAAAAAAAGGATTCCACTTGATGTGGATTGTCGCTCGATGGCTGAAACATGACAGGTCGCACAGATGGGTTTTGTATAGGTTGTAGCTATTTTCCCATTTTTTTTTTCTCTCCAAATCAGGTGCCTGTGCAGGTAAAGTATTGCATGTTTTGCTGCGGTTGGGAGGCGTTGTTCAGTACAATGACAGCTGCTACCTCCCGCTGATGTTCGCATTTAATTGCACATGGTATGGTTAACCTCGGCCGATCGCACTTGGACGCAGACAGTCTGTGTACAGCAGTGATTTTCCGCAGGTAATCATAACCTGTGCGGTTACACGTGAACGGGGTGCTAACAGCTATGGGCAATGACAGCTGTCATTGTATTGTACAGCGCCTCCCACCCACAGCAGATCGCATGACTCTCATGGAGGAATGTGGGAGACTCGTGCGGTCAGCCCCTTTTGTAGGTGTGAATGAGGCCATTAGATGGTAAGTGCAAGTGTGGGCAACATTATATAGGCACCCCCCAGTGTTTTATATTTGGAGAAACTGTAATAATTAGCTGCATCAATGTTCCGATAATATATATTCCCTGCCATTGTCTACCATATTTAATATCATCAACCTCATAGAACGGTTATATGTTCAGACAGGTGGGTGTGAACCGACCAGAAATTCAGCCATTTTCACCGATGCCATTAGTTTCCATCTTGAATGAAATGTATGTATGAATAGTTTCATTTTGATTGGCGGAAACTCTGTCTCTGTTACATTTGATTCACCTGCTTTTTATTTATTTAAGGAGTATTTTCCAAAGAGTGGAAAGCATTGAATATCAATAGTCTACAAATGGAATTTCTGTGGGAAATTTCTCTGCAGAACAATGGCAGTGTTGCAGGCAGAGGTAGAACAGTTGATGTATTATGTTCACGGTGGAGCAGTCACTGCGAGAAGGCAGAGATAGACCAGTGCCAGTCTGTTATCAAACTCTCTTTTGTTTGGAGTGGACAATCCTTCCCATACACTAATGTATAGCAGCACAGTTAAAACAAGCATTAGTTCTGTGGCCTTTGGCTGATCATAGATGGAGTGGATTTATTTTAGGTTGATTCAAGAAAATCGGTGCACCAGTTGTATTCATTTTCAACTCCTCTAAGGCCTTGAGGACCAAAGACTACATGATGCCGGGATATCTGCACGCCCGGGATGCACAGCTGTAAGGTACAGCTGCCCATAGTAGTAAATGGATGTAGGCAGTTGTTCACCCACTCCGCCAGTTGTGTGAATCCACGCATTTGTGTGTGCGTACAACCCTAGACGAAGCAAGTCTGCGTC